GAGATGGTTTTGAAGGAGGGGTGCTGCTGCCGAAGGAAAGAAAGATTTACCTCTTACTCCCTAGTTATGTATATATTTGTTTTCTTCAACGCCGATGCTAACAAGTAGCTTCCCTCAAAAGAGGCAGTTTCTTTTTTTAAAAAAAAAAAATAAAATAAAAAATCGGGGGGTGGGGTGGGATTGCGTGTTGCTCCTGCGGGTGCGTGGGGCTGGCCGGGCTGCGGAGCTTGGATGGAGAGAGGGTGAAATCTGCCATTTGTCCCCAGTGTTCCTGGAAAGAGGGTGGGAGAAAACTGAGCTAACTCCTGTGCTGCAGCCCGGCTAAGTCAGGGGAATGCTAAGGACAGAGAGAGGCGGCGAAAAAAAAAAAAAAAAAAAAGAGGAGGTGGGGGGGGGGGGGGGGGAGTTAAATAAATATTCCCCTGGCCCGGGAAGGTGGTTTTTCAGAACAAAGCGTTTGCACAGCACTATTTAAGAGGACGTTGGTTTTTTGCCTGCACTGCAAATAAATCTTCGGTCAAATGAAGCTTTCCCGTACCTCTTACATGTCTTGTAAATGAGACGTTCACTGAGCGGGTTTTGTTTTGTTTGAAGAGGAAGGGACGGTTGGAAAAAGTTCTGTTAGCATGCACATTTGGAAACTTAAGACAGGGAAAATTGGGATTCAGATCAAGAAAGCACAGTCCCTCTGTGCAAACATTTCATTAAACTGTTTGCTAACCAACAGCAAGTATGTTAACATTTATTTAATAGAAAAGTGTGTCAAAAGGCTTTCCACTGGTTGCTTTTTTAAAAGGCCAGGAGTTTTTCAGCTGGGTTGCAGGGACTCTGGCTGGCCTCTCCTTAGCTGAGGAAGTGGCACCCGGGCTCCGGTTAACTGGCTGCCGTGAGAGTAGGAGATGCCTTATTATAATTATTTATGTGCTGCTCCCAAGCTGTGACAATTTGAATGAGGGAGAGTTTGGAGGTACTCATTGAAGTTTTAAATCTTACTGGAACATGGAGCAACTTCCTTCATCACATGAACTTGGCTCTGTGTATTCATCCTTCACATGAATTGGAAACAGGGGGCATCTCTCCATACTTCGGAGTTGGTGCTGCTTAATGGAGTGGTAGTGCTTTTAACCATGACTGTTAGATAAGGAGAAAGGGGACGAGAGACTGGCACTTCGCTGAAAGTCTTTCTGTTTTCAGCCTAAATAGTCAAAATGCCGAGTTCCTGTTTTCTGCATTCTTGGCTGAGGGAGAACTGATGTTGAAATCAGTAGGAGCTTTGATTCCTTACAAAGTGCAAAGTATGACCCTTACAGTTCACATTCAAGGAGTGAAGGTTGCAAACCAGGTGTGCAAAAAGGAAGAACTATGGTGAACCTGTGTGACACATGGTGCCCACCTCCTCATGGGGACCACTCCACTTTCAGCTCTAAATCCAACACTCCCTGGTACACACCCTTCCCGAGCAGGATCACATCATCTCCCTTACACACAGCTAGGTCCTGCATCATGTGCTAAACTTCTGGTTGTTTGTAGTTTACAGAAATTGCTAGAAATTGGTATGGGGTGGTGTATATTACAGTAGTTTCTGAACAGCAACTGTAGTAGGCCCCTAACTTACTTTCCAGTTCAGGTTTTGGGGGCACAAAAGTGTTAAGTAGTAGTGTGCCTGTGCAACCCTTCTAATCTGTTTTTTAAAACAGATCAAGTAACTCTTTGAGCAGTTTTGTTTCTGTTATGAGGGTATGTGGCACCAGGTTTTGTGAAACTGAGTTAATCAAATATGCTTTACAGTTTAAAACGTGGCATTACGACTGTTCCAAATTGAAGTGTAATAAGTGCTATTGAACTGTGATCTATCTAAACTGAAATGACCACCCTGGCAATTATTTAATGAATATTAAGAATATTTTCTACTTATTTTTGGTAGAGGAGGCAAACTAATAAACTGGACTAGATTGCAGAAAACCTAGTAGGCATAGTATTTATAGTTAGGAGATTCAGGTTTGTAACATTTTATTGTGTCATTTCTTGCAAACTTCATTGAGAATGTGGAAAAAAAATACCACTGTTTAAAAACAGGACATTAAACCACCAAAAATATGTTCAAATACCACTGAGAGTCTAAGTTAAACCCACGAAAGCCAGGAAATTTAGACTTAAGACTTAAACTTCCTTAATCCATTTGCACTGGGAGTTGGATTTGCCTGGTCAATTATGTCCATTGCCAGCAGTGGCTACACTAAAACCACTGGTACCAAGATGTTAACTCAAATCCCTCCTCCTCCTCGTGTTCCTCCCCCGTTCCTGTGTATTGGCAGTGCCACTGTACTGGCTGTGTTGAAATATTTAGTCAATGGGCTACGTGAACATGGTCTTTCGGGTTTCTCACTGAATTTCTTGGCTTTTGTGGTTTTTCAGTGAGCCATCAAGTACAATTTTAATAAAGATGTCCAGGATGTTCCTTGCACATCACTTATCATTGTGCACTCCCAATATGATTTCCTTAAAAAGAAAAAAAAAAAAAAAAGTGGCCAGCAGCCAAAGCAGGAACTAGTGGAACGTAGCTACTTAGCTGATGGGAATATCCAAACTTGAAAAATTCCCTGGAGGAAATGCAGCCAGTTACAGTTACACTGCAGGAGTCTCCTGAGAGGGAGAAATGCAGTGTAGTCAAATACCTCAGAAGGTACAGGAACACTGGGCTTATGCAGTATTTTGGAAAAAAATGTGCTTCTCCTTTATTTCTGTGGATGGTAGTTTAAAGAGAAAATATTTTTGAAGCTCGTAATGAAAGCAGATGTTTGTCCTTTGACACCATTACAGAATGAATGGCATTTTTTTGACCATTACCTTTAAAATGTATTTTGTACACCTAGAAATGTTTCTGATTTCAAAAGCGGAATGAAAACGTGCTTTTTTTTTTTTTCCCCCTCTTTCCTTTTCTGTGTGTTGAATAAAATTAAGAAAGAAAGAGAGTTAAAGATAGCTAACTAGAACCCTGAAACTCAACGTGGTAGATTTTACTGTACTAAAGACTCTTTATTTTACAACAAATAAATAAAACCCAAAACAACCTTACTGGGGAAGACAAAGAGTCACGCTACAGCCCATGAGTTACCCGAGCCGCAGCGGAGAGCGAGGGGGCGAGAAACCGGGGCGCGGGGGTGGCTTGCGGCGGAGTGGGAGTAAGTAGTTTTCAGGTGTCGGGCAGCCAGCACAGGCGGTGCGGTGGGGTACCATGCGAGGCTGCTGGGAGTCATCGCTTGGCTGCAAAGGTGCTGGTGCATGCAGAATGCTAAGTTGTTCATCTTTTATATTTTGCTATTTTGTAAAGGAAAGTTAAGCACATAGGCTAATCTAGTGGCTTGTTGACTTTCCAGACGCAGCTGGCAGTTGATTAACATTGTTCCTTCACTGCATTTTTTTTCTTCTCAAAGGAAATTCCAGTGATTCAGAAGAAGACGACCGGAGTACCAGCAGCATAGAAAATCAGGCCATCCCAAATTCTCATAGGGTGCCAGATTCCAAATCACATCCACCACACATCAAAATAGATATCATCAGGAAAGTGCAAGCCAAAAATACACAGCGCTATAAAGTGGAATATGATTCGCAGAGTACGGATACACTGAATTTCTCTTCTGAATCCAAACAAGAGACTGAATATGTAAGTACTTTTGTAAATGGAAAGGCATTTCCCAGCATATGAGCATGCACATGAGTTTGTACGTATAGGCATGTTGTGCATATGACAAGATAAACTAAATAACTAAATGGTGGTAATTGTTGTAGCCATTTAGGGCATTTTGACTGTTTAACCAGTAAAACTATTGGATCTGCAAATGCAGTCAGCAGACAGAGCAGATCACTTTCAGAAAACATGGAGGCCTAACACAATGATGTTTACATTGATACAAGTATGATTTTTCACTAAGTCATTTCTTGGAGATCAAAATTTCTTGTTCCCCCCTATAATTATCACACATTTGAGTGAGTGGACTTGGCACGGGTTTAATAGTGTCTTCATTAAATTTGGTTGCAAACGTCATTCTTAGCTTGCAATAATGGAAAAAAGATGTTTCACATCCAGTGTAGTGGCACTGTGTTCACACTCCATGGGTCAAGTCAAGGGAGATAAACTTAGGCTGGGTTGAGGATTAGGATCTTGACTAATCAGTCATTGTTTGTGTGACGTGCTGAACACCACCTCCACTTGCAGTTTGGTGCTGCTTCCTAACTGCAAAGGCTCATGGGCACATGAGCTGCCATTGCTTCCTACTGACTGTGCCTAGTGGATTTGCAGGACAGCTGGAGTGTGGTGAATCTGAGGGGAGAATAATTGCTCCTCCTGGACATCCTGGCTGATAACCCAGTGGTTATCCTTGTGCCTGCACCAGATGACCTAAAAAATATGTCTGGCTATGCTTTGGCATTTTGTCAAAACAGTCATGGTGAAACCAGACATAGCTTCCCACCTGCAAAAGAAGGTTTTGAAACCTGTATGAGGTGGAAAGTTGTGTCTGAAGAGAGCATGGCCTCCAAGTTAACACGGCAAGAGTGGTGAAGCTGCCTGTTTAGTTTGTCGCTGATGTCCAGCAGTCTAGTGAAAACATTTCAGTGTCTGCCTTCTATCGTGTCCTCCTCCCAAAAACATGAAGTAAACTGCCTACAGTAAAAGAATGAACTTTGGTAGCTCTGAGGAAGTAGGTCCTGAACTTAACTAGGATGGACATTTTACTTATGTGGTAGTTGGGCCCCATGAGCAAAGGAGCACTGACTTACCAACGCGGCTGGTGTCTGTAAGAACCAGAAATAAGCCCATCAGGAACAGGTGCCTTTGTCAGCATATGCCCTTCTAGCTGTGTCTGCCTGTTAACTTTTGATATTGATCTCTCTGACTTTGGAAGCCTGCTTCAAATTAATAATTAAAAAAAAAAAAAGCTGGTGATCTTTTTGAAGAACTAACTCAGGACCAAATCTTGGAATCTGTGTGATTTGCAGTCAGCGTGTCTGAGCAGTTTCATTTTTTTAAGGAACTGCCAATAAAAGCAGCAATTCAAAGAGCATATTTAGAGCTTGTGAGATTGATACTGAAAGAAAACGTATGAAAGCAGCAAGGAAGTGCTTTGCTAACAAAAAAAAAATCAATTCTAAACTTCAGTAGAACTGTGTAGCCTATATGCTTTCAGACACTCACATGAAAGCGACTCTACATGAGCAAACTATTAATATTACCACTTAAAAGTATAAATTGCATTACTTCACTAATTAAGAATTGCACCGAGTCTTTCTGTTGATACAGCAACTTAAACATTTTAAACTCATGCAACCATGCAAAGGAATTTTTTCATGTGTCTGCTGAAGAAGTGGGCTTGTGGACCTAGTCAGTAATGTGCCCAGACAGGAGTGTCACTAAGCACAGTTTGTAGGCTGCTGACACTTGACTGCCTTCTTGGCCTGTGGCAAAACATGAACTACTCCGCTCCTGGTTTTCTGACTGCAAAGTGGGGCTCCTAACGCTTTACTCCCTGCCCTGGAGGGCTGCAGTGAGAAATAATTAGTTGGAGTTTGAGAAATGCTCTTAAAAGTGCTTCTGGAAGTTCTTTTTTGGCTCATTGTCCTAAAGCTAATCCTCACTACATTGTTGTCAGCCTTTTGCAGATGGAGAAAGTGAGGCAAAGAGTGACATACTTATCTAATGAGAATGTTGTGTGCAACCATTCCTTTGCATGGCTATATCCATTTGGTCCAGTTGAAATTGAGAATTGTTGTCCAAAGTTGCAGTATTTTTATATATACATATACATTATGCCAAACTACTTGTTTTCAATTAAATCTGTTTCATTTAAGCTTTCAAATCCGGCAGAATCACAAAAGTCAAATGGCATTAGGGAAAATCTACCAAGTAGGGTATTTCTAGTTGACTACCTTCTTCTTTTCCCACTTGGTGCAAGGCCAGCTTTTCCAAACTTAAGTTATATATGATTGATTTACATACATACTGGTTAAGACTTCCCGTAGGTATATCTGGCTGTGATCTCAACTGGAAATGCCAGTCTGTGCCTCAACATAGCGTAGCACCTTCAGTGTTTAGAAATTGGCCTATCCTGAATAAAGCAGAAAGTCAGAATTTGATCGGTGAGTGGTCTGCCTTTTGACATATCCAGCCATCCCTTTTTTTTTTTTTTCAAATGGATTTGTTTGGGTTTGTGCATCTTGCCCTTTAAAAGTTCATTAACTCTTGTATGAAAGACAGCATTTGGGAATGAAGTTTCATCTGTGTTTTCTAAAACATGTTCATTAACAGGGTCCCTGTCGTAGAGAAATGGAAGACACTTTAAACCACCTAAAGATCCTGAATGTCTTGAGTCCCAGGGGTTTTCATATTCCAAATTGTGACAAGAAGGGGTTCTACAAGAAAAAGCAAGTGAGTACAGAGTCTTGATCATTTCAATGAATGTACTTCACCTTTTCTGTGTCTCTGCTGAAGGATCTTGCCAGCAAGGTGCATTATGCATCATTTTACAGAGGAACTAGTTCATTTCCAGTTTTAGGACCTGATCTGATAGTGCAGAAGCTTGTCAAGTGGGGACAGTGTTTTTATTTTCTGTTGGTCATGACAACAGATTCATTTGAGAAACTTCATACCTAATCACACATGGATTGGCTGGTGTCCTAGATACTAATGCCCTTTGGTTTAAAAAAAGCAGTGCCTCTGTAATAACCCACAGAGCTAAATGTTGCAGTCACCATATGACTGCAATAGATCAATGCTTTGAATTGTAAATAGCTGCTTGAGAGTTCCTAGAAGAACTGCACTGGATCATGTTACAAAAAGCAACTTGAGAAAGGCATGTATCTGTCCTTTCTGTGCTACACAGATCTCTTCCAAAATCCAGGTCATGTTATCGTGAAAGTGATACGTCTAGTACTTACTCTGCAGCAAAGATGGCTTCTCAGCCCCCTTTGGTTCTGGGGTTGTGACCTTTCTTGACAAATGCAGACCTAAACTGCAGGTATTTATGCTTTAGTTGTGTAGGGTTGAGCTATGGCAGCATTCTCCATTCAGTACTGCCCTTGAAGCTCATTCAGGAACTTGGGGAAGTGCGATACGTGCCAGGTTCTTTGCTTAGTGTGCACATCCCATCCAATTCCAGTGTTTAGTTAGCGACTTGCCTCCAAATGTGTTTCTTGGTATTTCCTGAATTGAAAAGTGTCTTCAAGATTTTCCTCAAGGCAAACCCTCTGTAAGGACAGATTTTGTTTGTGGACCATCTTGTCTCTCCCATTTAGGTTTACGCAAGTCAGCCTCTCTATCTCTGGTAACCAAAGGAGTGGCTGACTCTGTGTTAATGCAGTTCATTGGTTGGAAGTGAGAGGCCAACCTCCGACCAGGCAACCTTATTTCAGGAATGGTGTCTCTCCATTTTTTGGCTTCCAGCTTTCTTAGAAACAGTCCTTCCCTTTTGGGTATTCCCTGGAGCTGTGTGTTAAGCTGGCAGTGTCAGGTGGGGCATTAGCAATAGGGCTGAGGTTTCCAGCCTTCCCTTCTGCCATCAGCCCAGCACTGGCTGCGCTGTTTGACCTTCGATGCATGCTGCTGAGCTTGCCTACGCTCCCCAGCTTTTCCCAAGCAGGTGGTGGCAACTCCCAAGCAGGGACAGAGTTTTCTTTTTATTGTCTGGAGTTTCGAGAAGCCCATGTGTGTCCCGCCACGTGTGAACTAGCAGAGAGCAGTGCTCACATCTTGGCCTGCGTTTATTCAGAAAATACTGCTATATGGAGTGGGGCTAGGACCATGTTTTGTGCCTGTGCTATAACAGCATTTGCTTAGCTACTCTAGAACAGCGCATCATTTAACTGTGTTCAAGGCACACAAGCATACTGTATCCCTTTTCCTTCTCTGGGTATTAGAGAAGACTGCAGATTGGTATTTACTTTGTTCAGTAGATCTTCCTTTCATCTGTCTTCAGACTGAGGTTTTTGCTTCGTCAGCAAAAAGGTGGTGGTTTGCGCGCAGTCTCTGGCATGTGTATGTAGTAAATCAGACCCACAGTAAGCACATATTAAAGTGCCTTACTTTTAAGGATGACCGTACTTTAAAGTGCCATCATAGTTCTGCCACTGAGGCAGAAAAAAAGGAAATACGAAGGAAAAAGAAAAAAAGGAAAGAGAGATAATACACTTACCTAGTCTTTGTTCCTAAAAGTTGATTTACAAGAATAAGATGTTGGTACAGAGCAAAGATATGCTTCCGCCCTCTGTGTAGCGTCCGTGCTGCCTAGAGACTTTCAAACTGCTTTAGGGAAGGTTCCTGCGGTATGTGCAACAGCCCATCTGGTCAGCAAACATAGAGGATGAAGGGGCACTTTCATACCTGGCCAGCCTTGTCAAGTGCCATGCCAATTTACACAGGTCCGGTAGTTTCAATGGTAGTTTCAGACAACTCGGGATCTTGTAGGAGATGCCCGCAAATGGAGCCCATGTGAGTAAATATTCTACATGAAATGCAGTTGGAGTCCTTCTCCTGTAAATGAACCTCAGTCAACCCTGGGAACAGGCCTTCATAGGTGGGGCTTACAGAGGCAGGCTGCTTCTCACGCGAACAAAATACAAACCAAAAATGATGTATTTGAGTTGCCCTTGTAGAATTAACTCCTAGAAAAAAGCTTCAGTTTGTGAAGTGAGTGAGCCCTGTTCGGACCGATTTCACTGTCTGCAGGGCAATGTGACAATTGTGTTTGTTTCGTTTTCTTTTTGGAGCATCAACATACAGGTCTGATATTTTAGGCACCATGAGCAGGTGCCTCATTAACAGAATGCTAGGCTATTTTGAGAATTTCCTTCATTGCTATTCAATCCGTAACTCAGTTATATTCAACAAAATTCAGAATAATAGGTTAGGAAATACATAGCAAATCTGTCAAAAACTGAGTTTGAGCTGGGCTTTTTTAATTCTGGAAAGAGCTGCCAAAACCACTCCCTGGGATGATAATGTAGACAGGTGTGTAGGAATCTTAAAATTATGATAACCCTCAAAACCATTAAAACACATGCAGGAGGCACTTCACACGTTAGTATATTCTTCCTTCCTGGTCACCTGCTCTTCTAGTCAAGGTGAAAGCAGTTATTTTTCAAGACATTTGTGCATATCTAGAAACTGACTTTTCAGGAACAACCATAGGGAGTAATGTGTGTATGTGAAACAATTTTAATAACATAAATTTATCTGTCAGGGTATAACATGAAAAATACTTCACACCTTGTGTTTATATATAAACTTTTTTTAAAATCAGACCTATTAAAATTTAGAATTCTTTTTCTTAATAACTCACACATGTAAGGTTGTACTATTTCACTGTGGTATAGGGGTATATTTACATGGAATAGGTTGATACAGGCACGTTTCTGCCTCAAGCATGGAAAAAAGGTTCTGATGAAATTAGAATTATTATATGGGGCAATTACTAGAATTGCCCCATATTTGTATACTGGAGCCAGATACTCACCTAAATGTGAGCTGGCATCGTTCCACTGAAAACAGGGCTCGGCTTGGCGGGAGCCAAAACGGCCCGAGGTATATGTCAATGCTGTCTGCAGTCTGTTCCGGGAGACCACAGTTGTAGCTCCACGGAGACCTCTGGGCTGACCAGGAGTTCAATGGGATACCATATGCTTTGCTGTGCCCCACAAATGCCTCTGTGGCACTTCTTTGTGGAAGGGAGAGGGGCAGGTGGCATGGAAGCTGGCAGCTGGTGTTTCTATCAGAAGTAATTACTGGCTCCACCACTTGGGCAGTTTTCCAGCTTTTTGGACTTCTGAAGTCACGCAGAAGAGCTGGGCAGAGCCTTGACATATATGTGGAGTACAAAATTCAGAAGACCAGATTTTATTTTTTTTTTTTTTCCCCATATGAACTTCTGTAGGGAATGCAAGCAAGCTGCTTCAGAATTAAAGCATCACTTTTGAATCAGAAGTGCTTTACGATTCACAGCATGGCTGAGTGGGTAGTACAAACTTGCAGATTGGAAGAGGTAAATTGTTTCCTCACAGAGCGTTGTTTCAGCTGTAGAATGAGCTAAGGGTTTCGTTTTCAAAATGGGTTGTATGGAAGAAATAAAAAAATACTAGTAGTAGGGAAGGTGTTCCTGCAGACTAACTCCATGTTGTAATTAATTTCAAAAATTGACTGTGCAACTGTAAAAAGCAATCAAAACCTCCAACAACGTGAGATAACTTTAATTGATCATTTGTTTTGAGAGTGATGCAAGCCTATGAATCAGCGAGAGTTGTGTAACATACTTCATATAGTACTTCTAAAAGGGGAGGCTGTGTTACTATTATTAGCAGAAGTATAGTTTCATTGCCGAAGCACCAGGCTGGCAGCCAGAAGCCCTGTGCTCTAATTCGGGCTCCATCTGTGCCTGTTCTCTTGGGAAAAACAACTCAAGAACTGCTGCCTCAGTTTCCTTTTCCGTAAAATTTAAATTGTGCAAAGGCTGTTGTTTGTGAATTCCTCAGTTTTGAGCATGAAGGATTTCAGTTGCTAAATGTTAATACCACTTAAGCTGGAGTCCAGCCACCACCAAAATTGAAGGAAAATTTCCCATTGACGTCAGTGGACTTTGAGCAGCCATTCATGGAAATCCTGGAGAATACATGCAAGACCTAGTCAGGCTTTTGAGACAATAAACATAAGTTATAAAACTTGTGTTTAAAGATTTAGTACAGAAAAACAGCCGAACACGTTACTGGAACTCAAATACAGCTAACCACGTAGTTCAGCAAATTATTAACGTAGATGTTCTCTCAGTAGGTTTCAACTTCTTCACCCTCTCCTAAAATAAGCTTGATCTTGCCATCCTGCTGCTGTCCGTTTGCATAGGGCTAATGCAGAAGGACTGCAAATTCGGAGAAGAGAAGGCATTGTATTATTTCTCAATTTGGCTTGTTAGTCAAAAATATATCATGAGGGTAGTAGATTAATTTGTAGTTATGATGATTAAATTCATTTACTCTAAACTAAACAAGATGGAAACTTGTTCAGAAATTTGTGTTTAATATGTGATCTGCTCCCATCTCCCTTTCACAAGTTCCTTGTGAAGAACTGTCTACCCTACTCCCTGCTGCCACAAATTAGTTGGCTCAGGGGCCAATGCGCTGGTGCAGGCTGTCCCCAGGAATGACCCATATTCACGGTTCTGTCTGAAATACCGCCCTTTTGCCTGAGATCCTAAACTAGCTGTGGAAAGGGTCAGGCACTTTGGGCAGCATGTGAAGCCCAACACTTCCTTGATATTTCCTTGCATACCTGCACGTGGAAAAGGCACTTAGCTTTGTGAACCACTGCCCTACCCACATGGGAGTTGGGTACATGCCTATTAGACTGGAAAACAAACAGTTGAGCGGTAGTGGCAAAGTTTATCTGACTTGTACCAGCCTGAACCTCTGAAATACTTGAATTTCTGTGAGCATGATCTCAGGCGCAGCATTTTCTCTGCTTGCAAGACAGCCGTTACAGTGTTGAGGGCCCTGAGTGGCTTCAGTCTAGCCGGTTTTCCTCCATGTTGGTGATGGAACAGATGAAACCTCGGTCTTTGAAAAGCTAGGTATATTTGTGTCACTATCTCCTTTGTAAGTCTGTCCTGACCAAACAGCCACCTCTGGTAGCATTTGCAGAGAATCCCATATCATCACATCTCAAAACCTGGCTATGTCTTGGTAATGAGATTGACCATGGCAAACCTAGTGAGATAATCTGTGTCCTGGAGACATGGGTCTTTTGAGTGGGTGAAAACCTTGCAGGGTCCCAGAGGTTTGCAGTATGTAACTGTGTCCAGGGTTGCATACTGAATGCAACCTGCAGCATGTCATCTCCTCTAGTCTAGTTTTTACCATTCTTGATTCCTTAGGGAGAGCATTACTTACTTAGTATATACTAGACTTTATAATGCATTTTTACTGCATTACTATTTCTAAAGAAGTTCAGTGTCGTTGCCTGTCTAGTGGTAGTTTCAGGTTGGTCAGCGTTGCTGGCAAATTCTACCAGGCAACTTCTAAAGCCGACTAAAGTATAAGCAACCTTATTTATAGGAAAATAACACATGTAAAGTTCTAGTACACCTAGCAGTTGTTGAAGTGATAACTCCATTACAGGAGGATTATGTATCTGTTAATAAATGTCAACTACAGTATTGAAATTCCTCCAGGAAACAGATGCAAGCCAAGGGTGTTTATTGCTGCAATGACTGTCTTTGCCAGACGTGTGCTTTAGCATAGAACAAATCTGTTAACTTTCTTTTCCAAAGATGGGTTCCAGTCATCAGTCTGTACTGTTACAAGTAGTCCTGGTATTCAAAGGGGGCAACTGTGCTGCCTAATGTAATAGGGAGTAGTTCATAAAGGCGGTTTTCTGGTAGTTCTCAGAGCAGTTTTATTATGGAGTAATTAGACTCAAAGGGGTTGATGGGCAGAGCAGGTAAGCTTTTATAGTAATACTTTATTGTGGTAATAAATATTCTGTTTGATTCTGTCAGATATGACCAGGATATGGAAGTGCAGCTATCAAATGAGCAGGAGTCCCTGCTATATAACGCTCAGATCAGAGAAAAGAAAAATAACATTAACTGGGTCTTGTACTCTGTTTCAGTGTCGCCCATCCAAAGGCCGAAAGAGAGGTTACTGCTGGTGCGTGGATAAATACGGACAACCACTTCCCGGCTATGATGGGAAGGGAAAAGGAGATGTCCACTGCTATAACTTGGAAAGCAAATGAGGGCTGGGTGCCAGCTCTTCTGGCATCTGTGTGTGGCCACGGGACCTCACAGAGACATTGGAGGGGCTGGACAAACACTGTGGACTGTGTTGCGCGTGGAGTAACGAGCTCTGCCTCCTGCGGTGGATGGGGAGTCGCGACCTCCGCGAACTCTGCTGCAGCTGCACCCTGCCACTGACACGCGTCGGGCTTCCTATAGGATGTGTAGGGAGCTCTGAATTCCCACGTAAACCTGCACTATTGATACCCAGAGAGAAAAACAAATGGCACTTCAGAATGGATTCAGGGAGTCTCCACTGACTTTTTAAAGAACGGCCTGTGACCAATTTGATCCCGAAAGATACTGTTTTTTTATTTTAAAGAATTTATAGATTGTAAGCTTCTAAAAGTACTGCAGGAAAAAAAAAAGCAAAAGAAAAAACACAAGGATTTTTTAAAAAAATTTAAAAAGCTTAAAGGTTAAGCTTTTTTTACAGGTCTGACGGGAAACATCTTCACGGGTAAAAAGTTTTATAAAAATCGCAGCTTTTTAAAGAAACTTATTTCTAAAATAAAGACATGGCTATTTTTTCTGTAAAATATATTATGAATATTCTGTTAGTCTGTATTTAATATAATTGTTTTTTAATAAACTTTATTTAAATGTACCATGTGAATACCAAATACTACACAGTAATTCTAGTGTATACTTCTGTATGCAAAGAGAAAGTAAGGGTATGGAATGATTTACGAATATGTATAGATCCATATGCGTACACACTGACCTATTCTAGATAATAGAAATGAATTTGTGGAGCAAAGGAAGTGTTTCCAGAAGAGATTAAGTTTTGTTATTTGAAGTAACTACAAATATCAAGATAATAATTTTTAAATTTTTTTAATTATTTTATTGGTATGTCTAATGTACCCATCACTGAATTATGCCACTGGAAAGGATAACAGTTGCACTGAAGCTCTCAGTAAAGCATTCTTCTGTCTGTCCTTCACTTCAGTTTGTGCAACAGGGCTTGCATTTCCTCTGTTTCCTGCTCACACTAATCCAGAATATTCATGGACAAAAAATTGCCATTACAGTACCAACCTTTCTATTTGCTTATTTATTTTGAAAAGCTGTATCTATTCTGTGTTGTCTTGGTACACTCTACCAAAGCACATATTCTATATGATTAACTCCTGTTTAAAACAATGGTGACAAGATGGGGGGATCATGCTTGAGACCCCCACACTTCATTTATGCTACACACAATTGTTGCTTGCTTTGACTTTGGTAGAAATTGTTTGCCTGCATCTAAGCATAGAATAAGAATCATTGGGTTTAAATATTTAAACCAACTGTCTGCCATGATGTTACATGTCCTTTTAATCAGAAGAGAAGTGATTTGGTTTTGTTCTGGTATGTGATGCTTTCACATAAGGAGGACTTTGGCGGCATTTTTTTTTTTTTGAGGCTTATTGTTTACTGAACTTCATGACAAATTCTGTATGATAATGAAATCTGGATAAGGAAAGGTGGCCTGTGAAATGTAACATCTCTCTGGAAAGTAATGACATATTTTGTATATGTATTTATTTATATATTTTATATAAATATTTTATATATTTATATAAATATATAATATATTCTTCTATGTGTCACTATAAATATTTGATGTCACTGTAGAAAAAAGAAATGATTAACACTGTAATTTCCTGTTGGGTTGGGAGCTCTATGGAGACTGAGGGCAGTGGGTTTCCAGACGATGGGGCCAGGGGCTGTGCTGACAGAGAGGAGACCACAGGGCTGAGGAGACCACAGGGCTGAGGAGCCCATTCCTTTCCTGCCCTATGAATTACAGCTACCCTTGTTCCTGCCAGCAATGGCAAATGTCTTGAAACTTTGACATGGAGAGGTTTGGGTATGCAGCTTTCCAGGACTGAGACAGTCAATCACCATAAATCAGATGTTTAAAGCCTTACCCTGAAACATTATTAGGTGAACAGCCCTGTGTGCATTCTGCACGTCTTCTTAATTTCTGTCTAATGATATGAGTGCACATCATCGTTAAAACTGAAATTTTTTAAACTTAGAGTAAGGAAAAAAGTATACGTGGAGTGTTGCTTACTCCAGGCTAATACAGATTTCCTGACAGATGGTTACAGAAAGCTTTGTGAGGTGAAGATTTATTGAAATATTTTTACTGTTAATGCAAATGTAATGCCTGCAAAGATTTGTTGGCAAAAAATAAATGCTGGGCTTTTTTTTTTTTTTTTTTTAATTGTAAACCAGTTCCTTTGAAGTAATTTCACAGAGGGAAGAAAATATATATACAACAATATTTGGGCACAAAACCATGGATATGAAAATAAGGGTTGGATTCATGAAAATTAGTTAGTATTTCACCTTTTTTTTTTAATGGCTATCTTGTGAGCCATCTGAAAAAAAAAAAAGCAGCTTTTCACCAAAAAAAGTGGATAGCTGCCTTGCAAGCCACATTTTGCCACTATGCCAGAAATGCTTTAACAGCCTGTGGCAGTATTTCTAATTGGTATATTTTGTCAAGTTTTTAAGCTTTTTATGTTTTGCCCTACCATTAAAACCAAATAAATGTAGAAGAAGCTGGCTAATAAAGGACCTTAAGTGATAACAAAACTCGCTAATCTGTGCAGAGCACCAACTATTTTTTTAAAAAAATACTACATCTCAAGGAACTCAAACTGATTCAAGCAGGCAATCTGTCACATGAATTATTTAAGAAATTGCATTCAGCTCCATTAGTGGTACTAATGGTCTTTGATATGTAACAGAGAAAACGTACAGCCATAAGGGGGAAAAAATAAAAAAAAAAAAAATTGATTGGTCATGCAAGTCAGTTTGGTTATTTTGCTTCCAACAGTTGTCTATAAAAGACTGTCTAAAAATAGCCCCAAAAAATTTCTCACCTGTAATTTAAAGCTTCCCCTTTTTCAGAAGTTGCCTTTTAGGTATTTTTTATGAGCACAGTTGCTTGTGCTAGTATTGGATGCTTCCCGTTGTCTATCTGATGTTCCTGGCAGCTGGTATTCTTGGTATGAAATGCAGAATAACATTATTTCCCCCTAAAAAAAAAAAAATCACTCTTTAAAATGAAGAGAATCAGTGGTGGCTTTTTCCTTTTTGGGTTTTTGGTTTGTGTTTTTGTTTTGTTTTTTTTTTTTTTACATTTCTATTTCTATGAAGACAAGGGTTCAATTCAATAGACAAGTTACTTGTCATTCAAAGATGTTTCTCATGGCTGTGAGAGCCAGGCTGCAATTCAAATAAAAATATTTGTGGGCTACATCCAGGCAGAAGAATGTGGGCAGCATGAAGGAAATGTATGGGTCAGTATCAGTTCAGGGGAAGATCTCCCTCCACGTAGTTTAGAAATGTTTCCTGCTAAGAGCTGCAATGAGTGGAGGACTTTGTTTTTGGTGGCAGAAATGGAACCAATACATTTGAAAAATGCCTCCTGTTTTGGTGCCTTCACTGCCTTCAGGTCAGGTGGTTTATTTTTTCAAGTGAACATTTTCCAGCTTTTTTTCTTATTTTTAACAAGCTCAAGAATCTCAGTGATCTAGCTGAACATTATGAAGTCTCAGAAATATCCTTGTAACTGCTAACATTATTTATACGTCAAATATTTGCATGGGAAGGCACTACAAAAGCTTAATGTATGTACTGCAAAAGTTGCTAATTTCTTTTTGAGCATATTTCATCTCTAGATGCTACATGGGTACCATATGTAGCCCAGATTGATGTGGTAAGTATTCTTTTTAACCAGTGTAATAAATAGTTGCGTAAATCCCTATAATTGACCAGAATGCAAGTTAAAGCTGCCTGCAGGCAGTTGTATTATCTTTCGGACTACCTGAGAAAGTTCCCTTTTTTAATAGACCTACTGTGCTATAGTCTTTTGAGCTCAGAATATCCTTTTCCACCTTTTTGGCACGCACACCCTTCAGGGCATAATGTTAGCTATTTGCGCACAGGGGAAGGAGGCTTCAATGAATACCAAAACCACAGAATTAATTAGTTTTTAGTACAGTCTGAACTTTTTATGACTAAATTCCATAGAAACCTTAACACAGCATAATTCTTTATTGAACTGAGTCCTAAATTTAAGTAATGGTTTTACAAACCTTTTGGGAAATCATTTTTTGGTATCTCTAGTCACTCTAAAACTGTGTAAGCAAGGATGGCTCCACAGAGATTTTACATATTAGCAATAGGTATTATATTTAAAGTATGAAAAGCGGTGAGCAATTTTCCTGGATGCCAATGCATATTAGTATTCAAAATGAAATGTTTATATGGGTAGCTGTTTTAAACATGGTTATATTAGGTTTGCATGGCAAGGTCTTGGTAGTGGGGGGGCTACAGGGGTGGCTTCTGTTGAGAAGCTGCTAGAAGCTTCTCCTATGTCTGATAGAGCCAATGCCAGCCAGCTCCAAGACAGACCCGCTGCTGGCCAAGGTCAAGGCCATCATCGATGGTGGTAGCACCTCTGTGATAATGTATTTAAGAAGGGGGAAAAAAACCCAACTGCACAATTAAAGCCAAAGAGAGGAGTGAGAATATGTGAGAGAAACAAGTCTGCAGACACCAAGGTCAGTGAAGAAGGAGGGGAAGGAAGTCCTCCAGGCACAGGAGCAGAGGTTCCCCTGCAGCCCATGGTGAAGACCACGGCAAGGCAGGCTGTCCCCCTGCAGCCCATGGAGGCTAACGGTGGAGCAGATATCCGCCTGCAGCTTATGGAGGACCCCATGCAAGAGCAGGTGGGTGGCTGAAGGGGGGGGCTGTGACCTGATGGAGAGCCTGCACTGGAGCAGGATTCTGGCAGGACCTGTGGCCCCGTGGAGAGAGGAGGCCACGCTGGAGCAGATTTGCTGACAGGACTTTGAGCCTGTGGGGGACCCACACTGGCGCAGTCCGTTCCTAAAGGACTGCACTCCATGGAAGGGACCCATGCTGGAGCAGTTCATGAAGAATGGCAGCCTGTGGAAAGGAC